GGGTCAATTTTGGCCATTTTTGGGTGAATTTTGGGTGAAATTTCCCCGTTTTTGGTGCAGGTGGAGCTGCCCGAGGTGACCCCGCGGGAGCTGCAGCTGCTGCTGGAGGCCGAAGGTCAGAGGTCACCCAGGGGTCAGAGGTCACCCAGGGGTCACCCAGGGGTCACCAGGGGTCAGGGGTCATTTTGGGTCATTTTGGGTCATTTTTAGGGGATTTTTGGGCCATTTTTGGACAATTTTGGGATTTTTTGGGTTCATTTTTTGGCATTTTTGGGTCGTGGTCACTAATTGGTCACTCAGGGTCATTTTGGGTCATTTTTGGGTGATTTTGGGTCATTTTTGGATAATTTTGGGATTTTTTGGGTTGTGGTCACTCATTGGTCACTCAGGGTCATTTTGGGTCACTTTTGGGTGATTTTGGGTCATTTTTGGACATTTTTGGGATTTTTTTTGGTAATTTTTTGGCATTTTGGAGTTGTGGTCACTCATTGGTCACTCAGGGTCATTTTTGGGTCATTTTGGGTCATTTTTGGAGGATTTTGGGATTTTTTTTTTTAATTTTTTGGCATTTTTGGAGTTGTGGTCACTCATTGGTCACTCAGGGTCATTTTTGGGTCATTTTGGGTCATTTTTGGACAATTTTGGGATTTTTTGGGGTCATTTTGGGAATTTTTGGGTCATGGTCACTCATTGGTCACTCAGGGTCATTTTTGGGTCATTTTGGGTCATTTTTGGACAATTTTGGGTTTTTTTTTGGTAATTTTTTGGCATTTTGGAGTTCTGGTCACTCATTGGTCACTCAGGGTCATTTTTGGGTCATTTTGGGTCATTTTTGGATAATTTTGGCATTTTTTGGGTTCATTTTTTGGCATTTTTGGGTCGTGGTCACTCATTGGTCACTCAGGGTCATTTTTGGGTCATTTTTGGGTGATTTTGGGTCATTTTTGGATAATTTTGGGATTTTTTTTGGTAATTTTGGGAATTTTTGGGTCATGATCACTCATTGGTCACTCAGGGTCATTTTTGGGTCATTTTTGGACAATTTTGGGATTTTTTTTGGTAATTTTTTGGCATTTTTGGGTCGTGGTCACTCATTGGTCACTCAGGGTCATTTTTGGGTCATTTTGGGTCATTTTTGGGTAATTTTCGCATTTTTTGGGTTCATTTTTTGGCATTTTTGGGTTGTGGTCACTCAGGGTCATTTTGGGTCATTTTTGGACAATTTTGGGATTTTTTTTGTGTAATTTTTTGGCATTTTGGAGTCGTGGTCACTCATTCATTACTCAGGGTCATTTTTGGGTCATTTTGGGTCATTTTCAGACAATTTTGGGATTTTTTTGGGTAATTTTTTGGCATTTTGGAGTCGTGGTCACTCATTGGTCACTCAGGGTCATTTTTGGGTCATTTTGGGTCATTTTTGGACGATTTTTGGATTTTTTTGGGGGTCATTTTGGGCATTTTTTGTTCTTTTTCATCATTTTGGGGCCATTTTTGCAATTTTTGGGTCATTTTGGGCGATTTTTGGTCGTTTTTTGTTCCTTTTGACCATTTTTGGGCACTTTTGGCTCCTTTTTTGGTTTTTTTTTGTTATTTTTGGTTTATTTGGGTTTTTTTTGATTCTTTTTGGGTCATTTTTTTGTCATTTTTGCATCATTTTGTTGTTTTTTTAAAATTTTTTGTA